GTGGAAATGGTCTTCTCTTAAAAGGGGGAAAAGAAGCAAGGCGATCAAATGCAATATTGCATAAGGTATGATGTTTCCTTCATGGTCAAATTATAATGACATTGATACATCGGTTCACTTTTCTTTGCGCTTTATGTAGATTATCACGGCAGCCATTCCAGATAGTGTTGGTGGGACCCTCATTGGACTTGTAACTTCAAGGGAGGAAATACCTGATCTACTGAAGGTACATTGGGTTGAAAACCTTACTTGAATTTCTACTTCTTTTGACCCCAGGTTGTTGGCTTAATGGTAAATTAGTCAATGAAAAAATTATAGGACTGAAGACATATTTAATATCCTACGAGTTTTCATATTTAGTAATGATAATGTTTTTTAATTTCATAAATTTTTATTTTTCCATTATCACATCATTTATTATTGTAAAACATTGATTTTTTTGTGTATTATTATTGAAAAAAATAATGAAAAATTACTATGTATCAAAGTCCATTTAATGAATAGAATTAAAAATAAAGATACTAATTTTTTAAGTAAAAATCCTGAAATTTGAAACATAATTGTAAAAAATTCTTCCCTGTTATTATTGGTAATGATATGCGATAACAGTATACTTCAATTTAAGTGGTTTATCGAAAATAATGACAGCTGGATGATGTCATTGATTTGGTGATCCCAAGAGGCAGCAACAAACTGGTCTCTCAAATTAAGAATTCTACCAAAATTCCTGTTCTCGGTCACGCTGGTAATATAGATTGAATTGACCATTCTATTTCAATATGTTTATCTCCCATTCTTTTTTATTTTCATGAAACAAACCATAATGATCGTAAAAACATGTGCTCTTTGCTGCTATACAGATGGAATCTGCCATGTTTATGTTGACAAGTCTGCTGATTTGGAAATGGCAAAGAGAATTGTACTGGATGCAAAAGTAGATTATCCAGCAGCCTGTAATGCTATGGTATATCATTTATCAATTAAATTTATTTTATTCCTTCTCCACTTCATTTGGTGATTATCTTATACCTAATTGAAGAAATTTTTTTTCCCCTTCTTATTCATGATTTTGATTCTGCTCCGACTCTCTTGTTTTTTGACTGCAGGAAACTCTTCTTGTTCACAAGGACTTGGTCCATACTGGCATGCTGAATGAGCTTGTTGTAAATCTCCGTATTGAAGGTTTAACTTGCCCCCTTCCTCAGAATGCATGTATTATCATAATTATTGGATAATTGTCTATCCTTGCTGCGATTTCTGCATGGCAGACTATTTTATGCTTTTGGTCACTAGTTCCATCACAAGGGATTTGTTACAGTTATTGGAGCACAATTCTAAATAACCCTTCTTTATCGTTTGAAGAACAGATGGGCTAAAAATGAGTATTAATGATGAAAATTGATTGCATAAGTTCAAAATCAACTGATCATTTTTACTCTGATGTGTACATCCAACTCTAGGAATACATGACGTCTATAAATTAAAAGAGTAGTTACTTGTCTCTTTGCCAGGTGTTACTTTGTATGGTGGACCAAAGGCGAGCTCTCTGTTGAACATTCCTGAGGCACGGACGTTTCATCATGAATACAATTCATTGACTTGCACTATTGAAATTGTGGAGGATGTTTTTGCTGCCATCGATCATATACATCAACATGGAAGGTATGCTGCTGATATTTCTTGATGAAAGAGCATTTCACATTGCTAATTATTTGCATTTACATGTGTTAGGCGAGCATGCATTTTGTTTCTTTTGATCCATACTCTATATGTTGCTCATTACTCTCTGTAAACTGGCAGTGCACACACTGATTGTATTGTTACAGAAGATGAAAAAGTTGCTGAAATTTTCTTACGTCAAGTTGACAGGTAAGAATACCTATTAACCTTATTTGGCAGTCTTCCAGCTTCCTCCGTTCTTTAATAATATTTTCATGCGTGTGAGATAGATTGTATTGAATAATGATGCTTTCACTTTGATGGCTTATTAACGCTTTCCGCTATGTTTCTAATGGTAGCGCTGCTGTTTTCCATAATGCAAGCACAAGATTTAGTGATGGGGCCCGATTTGGTCTAGGTGCCGAGGTATGATATGCTCCTATTATTGTCGGATATCAGTACGGTTTAGCTTGTTGCTTGCTTTTTACACATCCATTCTTTGTAACAGGTTGGGATTAGCACAAGTCGAATCCACGCACGGGGTCCTGTAGGAGTTGAAGGATTATTAACGACCAGATGGTATGAACAAATCATAGTCTTCTTTGTAATTCTATATTGTACACATATACGAACAGGTCTGCAAATATTTCACGAACACAGCATATAATGTATTGTGACATGTGGATAGATAGGCAATTATATCATCAGAACTGTACTTAAATTTGCATTTGTTATATGCAGGATTCTTAGGGGAAGCGGGCAAGTCGTTAATGGTGATAAAGGTGTTATCTACACACACAAGGACATCAAGATTGAGTCTCATGTGGTCGATTGATTTCCAGCCGAAGGATTCACGCTGGCAATTTGTTTGGTGGAAAATGTATAAAATAAGTGTTATTCTTCTCCCCTCGTGCTTCAGTTTGATACTTGGAGAAATAATGTGGTTTAATTAGAGACTTCATCAGAAGCGGCCAATTTTCCTATAATATTGGCCATTGCTGTTTAGTAGCTTAGGACCTTTCTTCAAGAACAGGAAATCCAGAGTTTAGTTAGTCGTAGCTTATAGGTTAATCTTTGAAGTATGACCATTTGAGTAGATGTGGTGCATTATGCTTGGATTGTTTTGTTGTTTGTGACAATTGAAATTGGGTTGGCTTCTAAAATAACGGGAATCACATGCGAATCAGTGGTTGTAGTGCACTTTCCAACTCCTAAACCCATATAAACCAGTCAAGTTTACTGTCCGTTTATAAAACAATATAACAGTTTTTAAAAATTTTACAGTCAAATGTACTTTTTGTTTTGGGTTTTTGATAGGTTTCTGTAAGGTTCTCAAGTCAAAAAACAACTTTAGTGGTCATCTTTTAAAACTAGTTTTGTAAGGTTCTTGAATATTGATATTGAAATGATTCAAATTCTTAAACTTTTAAGTAAACCAGGAATTTGTTTATTTATTTGTTGATGTGTTGGAATTCCTGAAATATTTGCAATGTTTTTCAGTGGGATATTCTGTCAAAAATGTAGAACATAAAACATTATTCATAAGAACTGCTAAACCAAGGTATTTCAAACAGACAGATGCAACTCTGTGTCTATAATGTCTTGTTGTACCATAAGAATAATTTGCTTTCCTGTAAAACGTAGATAAGTTACAAGATAAATGTTCATTCCGGCAGAAAAGTATAGAGAAAGTGAAGTTGAAAGGTGTAAACAGTGGAGAACTAAGAGGGGAAAAAACTACTCCAATGGCTACAAGTTTATGCTTCAACAAAGTTCTTGAGTTTCGTCAGCCATAGCAGAAACTCCTTGCTGTCTTTGTTGATCATGTACTCATGTAAGAAGATTGTTGTGCTCGGTTTAATACCTCTAATCTCCAGATACTTGTGGAAGGCCTTCTGAAGGTTCTCGTCCAGATCACTGAAAAGAAAAAGTGCAGATATGATCATCATATTTCTAACAAAGCTAGAAGAACTGAACTGATATGTAAGTAAATACTTACTGAAAATCAGGGCCTTCATAAGCAATTTGATCCTCAGAATGCTCTGGATGTTTAACTATCAAGCTCTCTATGGAAATGTCATCAGGGTAAGCGCTGCAACTAAACTCTAGGGAAGGTCCATTTTTCTTTGAGACACTAACCATCAATGGGATACAAGACTGATTTCCCTTATTACCACCATCATCGTCACCGTCAACGTCATTGGCGTTAATAGTTCGACCAGTAACCAGATCAGGCATGTGAACTTCAACATTAATGACTTCATCTTGATATGATCTCTTCAAAGTTATGGTTTGCAAGCCAGGGTTATCTTGAATCTCGAATGGAAATCCTTTGGGCACTTCCTCGACCTATCAGATCAAGAATGTATTATCATAACCACCATTTACTGAAACTATAGATTTATGCTTACAGTTTGACAATCAGACCTATCAGACTCATTTATCAATCACGCTGAAAGGAATCCCCTCCAAATCATGTTGAAAATTATTCTACTTCCACTACCAGTGAAGCAATGCTCAGACAAGTAATGTGCAGACACTATGAAAAGCCAGTAATATCTAATGGAGCTTCCATATTTCAGAGCAATCGCGGGTAATTTTTATGACTGATTCTACTGGTAAACAGAGCGATTCTTTCCCAGACTAATTGAAAGTATAATTGTCTATGTATCTCAGCAATAATTACTCAATTGGCCTAGGTGATGAAGAAAAAGCAAAACTCACCCGATCGTGATCGTCAGTTTCCGAGGCGCATTTGACCTCAGACTCAATCACTCGTATGAGAGCCTCGTCAGAACTTGGGCGCTTTGATGACGAAAAATCTCGGAAAGAGCTAAACGTGGTACCCAACGGCGGCGGGCAATAGAAATTCGAGTGATTGTTCAAGGCATTGAAGACGGAAGTACTGTAAACTCGTTGGCCCCGAAAGAGACGACCCGCTAAGGGGCAAAGAGAGGAGGCGGATTTTCTGATAATGGACGCAATAGCCATTTTTTCTGTTCAAAGGTGCGATGGCAAAGTGAAGGAAGGACAGAGGTTTTAGGGTTTAAGAAAGAAAGGGTTTTTGACGGAGTAGACTATAAAAATTCAGGGGTATATTGGTAAATTGACCATCATATCACTGTAAAAAAAAACAATAAAAGAAAAAAGAAAAAAAGAAAAAGAAGAGATTCTGCTCTGCAACGAGGTGAGGGTATACTCGTAATTTTGCAAAATGGAAAAAGGACCCATTCGGTATTTTGTGTTAAAAGTTTCTTTCGCTTTCCATTGGGACTGCTTTTGTCGAAAGCCCTATAGAAAGGAGGAGTTATGGCCGAACCCGTGAAGCGTGAGTGGAGATAAGACTGTACGTCGGTTCACCGGACAGAATATCACCACCAATGCGGTTGTGCCACGTGACTAAGATTCGGTAAAGCACCGTTTAGAAGTTCCGGGAAAAGAAAAAGGGTGACAGCTTCAGTCAATGGAAACGAACATTCCCCTTTTGGGAGTCCACAGTCTTCCAATGGCGCCATTCCAGTTTTCTCCATTTCTTAACAAACCCATTTTTCGGCTTCAGCTTTCAGATTCAACTCTTGAGCGAAGTTGCTGACTGCCAAACCATTGAACGCATTGTTCTTAATCTTCTCTTGTTTACGACTTTTGAAGCTCCCGATTCAGAAGGAGAGCTGGTAGAGTCCGGAATTTGACGGAGGCAGAGATGTTTGGGAGTCCAGGAAGAATGAGCGGCTTTGCACTGAGATGTGCGCAATGGCTTTTCGCTGCTGCATCGATTGGGGTTATGGTTACTGCTCCTGGCTTCTTCAACTCCACTGCCTTCTGGTAATAATGCTAATCTATTTCCCGCTCACCATTTCTTTTGTTTTACTGTGAAATGTGGATTAGCTGTTCAATCTTGGCCGGAGCCGTTGTAGTGTGGGTGTTTCTGACAATCGAAGTTCAATTCAGTAGGGAAAGAAACAAAATATTGTATGGCTTGCCTGCGTCATTCCTTTCTTGGAGTATTATTAATTGTTGGTAAAAGATGATCGTAGTTAGTGAGGTCTTTTCAAATGATTGAGAACTTCAGCACTTTCATTGTTCTTACAAGGTGTCCTGGTTTCATTATGATTCAGCGTTCGAATTATTGTTGTTCTCAGTTCAATCAGCTTATCTTTTCAGATATATCTGAAGGTGAAACTGTTGGCTTATGTTTTCCATATTGAGAAAGTTTTTTTTGATAAGATGAACCCAATGTTAGAAAAGATGGAGGACGAATTTACTGCAAACTGCATTATGTTTTTTGGAGCCTAATCGTTTTAAAAATTTATGCTGAGCTATTTTTTGGGCAGACCCCGCGAGCAATGTCATTGTTCTTAGTGTTAGAGTCCATCCTAGCCACCATTTTTGTGTTCATTAGGCGATGAATTGTTTGCGTCTAGGTTGCCCATTCGTTTGATCATAATGTTACTGTTTTCTTTGAAAATGGTCCTTCAACGAATTGAACTAACAGTTTGGATAGGGGACGTGTGCATGTGCAACTTAGCGTGAATAGGGGAAACCACAGTTCCTGCCATGAATGTGAATATATGAAAACTTTTCTGATGCTGAAATTTGCCAATGCAGTTTTGAACTTTCCGCTTTAAATATTCTAAATTACACTACATTCTCTGATTCTTTCTTTATATTTTCATTGTTTTATGTGACTGTTTTGACCAGTCTATCTTCAGTTCTATTGCAAAGTTGTGGTTCTTGTCTAATTTTGGCACTTTTATTCCGACCAGTTACCTAATTGCTTCCATGGGGCTTCAAATTCTTTGGAGCTTTGGATTAGCATGCCTTGATTTGCATGCTTTGCATATGAAGAAAAGCCTGCGGAATTCAGTTTTATTGTGTCTATTTGCTATTGGAGATTGGGTTAGTATCACCGTCTTTTGACTTGCGAGTACATGAGTGTAATTTTATCACAATATTGCGGACTAAATGTTACAAGATTTCATGGTGGATGACAAGATCCATACATGTTTTGGATTTAAGGAGGTTTTATTGTATTTTTGAAGTTTTAGAGAATTATCTTTAAGATTACAAGTTACTATTATTATGGTATTGATTGCCAATGTACAAGTATTAGCAGAGCAAGTACAGGTCATTATGGTATTGATCGCCAAAGTTAGAACCTTTCAATTAACCATAGCTTACTCTAAGTTTATTTTCAAGGCTATAAACAATCATTCATGTCGTTGCATTAGTATGAAGATTTCAAATATTAGAATGAAAGTTGCATTTTATGCCTCTTAAGCCATGGACTTGTTCCTTTGCATTTCTTGTGTTTAGATTTGCATGCTAGAGTCATTCAAGTAGACGTGATCAAGCTATATTGTGGAGTGATTCGAATTACGAGTTTTCTTTACTCTTGATCTTGATCATCCAGATAATTCGTTCCAAAACTTTCTCTTAGAGTCATTCAAGTAGTCTAATGATTGTATGTGATCGTGGAAGAGACCCCGAAAGTAACTTAGTCCATCTAAGTCTCCCAGTGTCATTGACCAATTACCTGCTTAAGTTTGAACGTCTCAGTTGGTATGGGACCATAAAAGTTTTTGACTAATTATAGCCAGTTTCCATCTCTATCCGAGATAAGCCAATAGAGACCATACAAGGCTCCCTATCACTGGTGCGTTTCCCCCCAAATTCGTGAAGATACGCTAGACCAATTGGAGACCTCAAGCTGAATTGACTGTTTTACAATTCTACACGCTGTCCTCTGAATGTTGTATAATATTAGTACTTGGACTTCCTGATGTTTACATAAAGTTTAAAGTGCGACATGAGGTTTGCTGTAAGCCAATTCCCTGCCCTTGGATTGTATAAGTACAAGTCCACCACTATCGGATATTATCTTTTTTGGGTTTTTCCTTTCGAGTTTTCCTTAAGATCTTTAAAACACGTCTGCTAGGGAGAAGTTTTCACACCCTTATAAAGAATGTTTCGTTCTCCTCTCCAACCAATATGAAATCTCACGATTGGTTCTCTGCAATTCCTTCAGTCCAATCACATGCTTTCAGGATTTTGGATGTTGTGGATGCTTGAGAGGTTATAAGAAACCATGAGCGTAGGGTATGTCAGGCTGCTTTGTCTATCTTTTGACATTGTCAACGGGGTATTTGGATCCAAGAAATTGAATAAAGTTTCACAATCTCGCTCGGTAATCAATATTCCGAAGCTCAATGCTCCTATAAAGCTACTGTGGACATTCCAAATAAATATTAGCTACAGGTTTGAATATTGATCTCGAGGAAAAAGTTCTCCATTTTGTTGCATTTCTTCTGGTACTTGGTAGACATTCATGCTTTTATTAATTTCTTTTAGCATAATAGCTACTTTATGAATTCATCCATATGAAATGCAGGTTGTAGCTACGCTTTCGCTCGCGGCTGCATCCTCATCCGCTGGGGTGGCCATTTTGTATTCAAGGGACTTGAACTACTGCAGATCACCACTTCGTATTTCATGTAGCAAGATTGAAATATCTGTGGCTTTTGCTTTTGTCTCATGGTTCTTACTTGCTATATCTTCGCTAGTAACATTTTGGCTCTTGGGCACTGTATAATAACATGACTTGGCCTTCTTTTTCTTGAAGGCTTTCCCTCCCTAAACGTAAATGAGTGTAGGAATCTCTACCGTTTTTGATATAGATGTCTCCTACGACCTACCTTTTCTACCTTTTCTACCTTTTCTACCTTTTCTATGGAGTAGTCATGCTTATGCTGGTTTATCCACCGACCTTTCCATAATACCTCAATTGATTAGAAATTATATTCTCGATAAAGTCGATAATAAAAATTTAAATTTTCACTAAAAAGAAAAAGGGTAAATTCTAGGAGTTACAATTATAAGGAAGCTGAAGGAAACAATCTTTCAGAAAAAGAAATTGAAACATTAATCGATAAATTATTTCCGTATGTACACAAAAATATTACATAGTATGACCACGAGAAGAAACGCCCTTGAAAGGGGAGATTGACCCTTCACTCACAGAACTTGAACTAGCAGACACTGACATTAAGGCCCATGAAGAGGAAGAAGAAAAAGAAAAAGAAAAAGAAAAAGAAAAAGAAAAAGAAAAAGAAAAAGGAAAAAAAAAATAAAACTAGTAAAGTCCACTCACGACAACGTTACGTTTCAGCTCTCAAAAAGGATTCCACTAAGGTGCAAATACACACACACCTTTACATGACTATTTCAGGCTTCAAAATGCTAGATTTGATTTCTTTGTGCGGCAACACAACTCCACCATTACTGTAAATTTCATCACCCACATGAACGTCTTCTCCTAGTATTGTCATGTTCTCTACACGTGCCCATTGCCCGACTGTAGAGTGCCAACCTATGATGCTGCTCGATATGCAAGCGTGCTTCTTGATGCGCACTCCGCGCATTACAGTGCATCGAGATAGCCTAACTCCTGCCTCAACAACACAACCAGGACCAATGGCAACATCTGGCCCAATCAGACATCCTTCACCAATCTTAGCAGTCTCGTCCACCAGAACATTTCCTACGATGTGAGACCCTACAGCCAACTTTGATGACGAGTTCTTCCTCAAGGAGTTCAGATAGAGCCTTAGTCCTGTAATATAATCTTTTGGTTGTCCAATGTCCATCCAGAACCCTGGCAGTACCATTGCATAAAGCTGTTGCTCTGCTGCAATTTTAGGAAACACTTCTTTCTCAATTGATGTTGGCCTCAGTTCAATTTTGTCCAGAACAGAGGGGTTTAACAGGTAAATTCCGGCATTGATTTTGTTGCCGACAAATAGTTTTGGTTTCTCCACAAACTTCTCAACTTTCCCGGTGGACTCTTCCATGACCACCACACCATATTTGGAAGGCTCATCAACCTAGAAGAAGAAAAGATATTAACTACTGACTTGAAGGAAGAAACTTTTAGATAATGAATAGAATCTTGATGAACTTCCTATCAAAGAAGAATATATCCGAACTCAAGAGGTTTACCTTTGTCACCATGATTGAAGCCTCTCCTCCATGACTCTTGTGGAATTCGATCATTTCTTTAAGTGGGTACTCGCTGATAACATCACTATTCAGGACAAAAAATGGCTCGCCTGACTCATCTACTAGTTTTTCCCTTGCAAGGGCTAGAGGGCCAGCTGTTCCAAGTGGTTCGGTCTCCTGAGAGCAAGTGATCTTGATCCCAAGCTTCTCCTCAAATTCTTTCAAGAAATTCAACATTACCTGCAGGAATAAAGATTTATTGCATCTATCACTGCAAACCTCGTGAAGTAGGGAGAATAAAAAAAGAGTTTTATTTCCTTACTTCTGGCTGATAATTGATTGCCAGAACTACTTCCTTCACTCCGATAGCCTTAAGAGCTTCTATCTGAACAGGAGAAAACGGCTTTCAGACTAGCAGCATGATTAAACAAAATCATTTTCTTAAAAACGGTTAATTTTCAATGTTCTCTATCCAATATTACAGCTAGAATTAGAAAATCACTAATTAGATCTCAAGATTCTTGCAACTAAAAGGAAAAAATTTAAAGATTCCCACTAAAAATATCATATTTTAAAAGTAAAAGATTAAAAATGTCATGTTATAGAAGGATGTACGAAGAATTTCTTGAAGAAAGTGGTCAGTGATTTGTTACTATATGTAAAGGGGGGAAAGATAACATAAATAAACCTGATGCAGGATCATGGGTTTATTAGCAAAGTCAACAAGTGGCTTGGGGACACTGAGGGTCAATGGCCTCAAACGTGTTCCAAATCCTCCAACAAGAATAAGTGCCTTCATCGTGACGTTGTGGTAATTTCTGCTCTGTAGATAATGACAACAAAAATAGCTTTGACTCATTAAATTGGACAAGAACATCCAATGTAAAGTACAAAAGAAAGTAAAAAAAAATCTACCATCCCTTGTACGCATGCATGTTCATATATCTTAGTTAAGAAAGATGCGCTCATATGACACTCGGTAGCCAGCACCATCCACTGAGAGGCTAGAGAGAGAGAGAAAAGACACTCCTAGGCACTTGGGAAAAGCTATTGAGAAGAGAGACCAACAGAATTTTGAAAAAAACCACAAATCATACAAGACAGCCAAAGAGGTTTAAACATATGGATGGCTGGTCTCTTACATCATTGAAGATTTAAATGGTCCAAATGTACCCCCTCCAACCTTACCCGAAGAAAACTATCTAACAAAAGACTACAATTTGTTTGGAACTATTTTCAAAATAATATTGCTTTTCAGAAAGAAAGAAAAATGTTTGCATAGCCGGTTGTTTTTGTAAGTTCTCTCCTCCACTTTGTTTTTTTAAGAACAAATGAAGTTGTTATTTTTTCAAGACAGAAAATGTTTAACCTTTAGCATACACAATAATATTGAACAAAAATTGTAACCATAAACAGGAAATCATTTTGAAAACCGTATTTGGAACAATCTCTTAGGACTTACTTCTACACGGGAAGGATAAAAATGAAGTATACATCAGAATTGAGATCAACAGATACTTTAGAAAAAAAATACGTAAGATATTTTGGCATGCTGCACAGTATGGTTTCTTTTATTTCCTTCTCTATCCGACAACATTATTTTAACATCATTGGCTCATCTTTCCATGGAAACTAAAGAAAGGATGCAATACGTCATCAAATTACCCTAGTCTTTATTCCCTTATGTGATGAGCAGACGAATCATAAAAGACATATGGTTAGTCCCGAAGCACCTGACTTGAATCATTTAACTAAAGAACAGAACACAAACGAAAGTACAACGTAGAATGATCCATATCTTAATGCGAGAAAATGATGATAACTTTACCAGAATCATTCATTCTTCCAGCTCATACAGATTCTATCTATAAGCAATAAGGAACGAATGAAGGCAAACACAAAACAAAACAAAAAAAAACATTGTAATACGTATAATCAGTGAGGTGAACTTGGTATAATAACTGCAATCTTATCAGATCTGACATCATAAAATGTGAAGCTACTTCATTACCAAAACATTCAATCAAAAAAAAAAAAAAAAAAAAAAAA